AATTTATACAGTCCAGAGAAAAATCACACAGTCCAAAGAAAATTTAATCTGATTTCCTCACATACTCGACATGATTTGAACAACATAATTGATATTACTTTCATGCCCGTTCACCTTTCAATTAAAAAATCTGCAATATAAATTTGGGATCTTGGATGTCTCATTTTTTGTAGATAATATGACATTCATCAAAGTAAATAAAGAAGCAGAAAGCTATTGACATGAGAAAGCTTTGTACCTACATGCTATGTATATATTGAGAAAATTGCTTTTTGTTTTTGCATGATTTGCAATCCTCTAGCTGGACACATATGTCATCTATAGATTTTGGGAAAAAAAGAGTAATGATCCAGAGAAAATTCACACATCCAGAGAAAATTTACAGTTCAGAGAAAATTCACACATCTATAGAAAATTTATATAATCCAGAGAAAAATCACACAGTTCAGAGAAAATTCAATCTAATTTCCTCACATACTCGACATGATTTGAACAACATAATTAATATTACTTTCATGTCTATTCACCTTTCAATTAAAAAATCTGCAATATAAATTTGGGATTTTGGATGTCTCGTTTTTTGTTGATAATATGACATTCATCAAAGTAAATAAAGAAATAGAAAACTATTGGTATGAGAAAGCTTTGTACCTACATGTTATGTATATATTGAGAAAGTTGCTTTTGTTTCTGCATGATTTGCAGTCCCAAAACCCCAGCTGAACACAGATGTCATCTGTAGAGCAAAGAGATCCATAAGCTTTAGAACCGGAAAACTTGTTAGGCTAAGTCCTCGGTGACATTTGAAATTTCAATATTCGGATTTGAAGAAGACACATTCTTGACTTCAATTTTCGAATCTCTTGAAATGTTTGCAAATTCTCCACTGTCCGCGGCTCAGATCGCGGTGGTCCAGCTCAGATCATCGCATTCCGACGATGGCGTGGTAGAGACAAAGGCGAAGGTGAAGCCGACGACGTTGGAGATGAAGACCGAGAGAGGAGAAAGGAGCAGAGAGAGAGGAATGTGCACAAAGAAAGAGGGTTTGATTTGGATAGAATGAAGATCGGAAAGAGAGAGAAAGAGAGTCAAATTTCTTTGATCTGATATACGGGTGTGGGCTTAGGGACCTTAGACATCAAAATATGATATTGTGGATATCTTCCATTACTAAAAATAAGAAAAAGACCTTTAACTAATTTTTCCAATATTTTATATATAACACTAACTAATTTCATATAATATTTTTTATATATACAAACTAATTGACAACAAGTTTCACATCTTAAATTTCTTTCACAGTGATATTTACTTTGATATTTTATTAGAAGTAAAAAAAAAACAAATATTAATTAATTATAACGGAGTGATTTCGAATGTGAATTATAAATTTCAAACCAAGTAACCCGTGGCTACTGAATGAATTGGTGCTTATTGAGCAAATCGGTGTGGATTAGATAGTATGTTGTACAATCCTAATTACTGTTACTGATACGAGAGCACCATATCAACTGGGGGTGCACAAGAGGGACTGAGGGTTGTTCTATCTTAGGGAGCAACAGTCTTGCTATGAGTTCATTTAGGAGCTTTTTTCGGGTCTATTTTGTTTATCCGAATCGTTCATATTGTAGGGTCCGTCGAGTTTATTATCTACGAAAAAAATAAAGTTAATCGAATATCCTTAGTCTCATGATCAAGCCATAATTGTTTTTAAAAAATTATAAAAATCGTGTTAATCGTTTATTTTTTAAAAATAAATGTGCTCTTTTTATGAGGTTATAGATGTCCAACCAACTTAATTTTTTATGTGGATGATTTACTTGACAAGCCTTACAATATAAACAGTTTGAATCATTAAAAGAGACTCGGGACAAATTTTTTTAGGGCCATGAGACAGAGCAGAATATCCCCTTCTGCACAAGAGACTAGAAAACTCAAGAATCTAGTAAACCCGATCTATATGATTTAAGTTGAATTGGTTTGATTTGATCAATATGTTAATTTAATTTTTTGTTAAAAAATAACCAATCCAATCAAATTAGTCCTGTTTGCGGATAGGTTATGCATAACCCTAACTAACTTGAGGCCTTCATATTGAGATGTCTTCTTATAATTGTAATACAATTTAATTTTGGGTTTTTGAAAGAGACTTTCGGGGCTTAAATTGTGAGTGAATGAGATGGTTAACAATATCTAATTAATTTAGTTTTTTACAGGTATGTTTTATTTAATGTATTCTAAAATGTAAAAGATTTGAATTATTAAAATGAATCTCAAAATAGACTCATTTGGCTGCATAGCAGTGACTACTGTATCCCAACACAACAACTACCCTAAATCTGTTGCTTAAGAGTTTATTTGTCTACAATTACAAGGTTATATGTGGTTCTTTATTGGGAAAATTACAGGTATGTGGTCTTTTAAATTTATTTTACAAACATATAGAAAAGTTTAGAATTTTAATTATTAATGTTTATAAAGTTAAACAGATAACAAAATTTAGATAGATTTTTGGCTGGGTGTTGCAACATTTTCTTTGGCTCTATATTTCAATAGATCTCAATTTTAAACAGATAGCATTTCACACAGATAGATTTTGAACTTATATATAATCAAAATTTTAATAGATAGAATTTTGCCAGATAGAATTCAGGAAAAAAAAATGAACAGAAAATAGAATTGGGATAGATAGATTTAAGTAGATAAATGAAAAATTGAACAGATAATAAAATTTAGACAAATTTTTGAATAGATAAGGCAAAAAAATTGATCAAATAGTCAATAAATTTGAACACATAGACAATAATTTGAATAGATAGATATAAAATTTCAACAGGTAGAAAATAATTTGAACAGATAAATATAAATTTAAATAGATAGTCAACAAAAAGTCAACAGATAAAAAAAAGTCAACGGCCAAGTTAAGGGTAAAATTAAAAATAAAATGTCCTCCAAAATTAACAAAAAAACTTCTCGTTAAATTATTTTATGGAAAATCAATCTTTCACCAAAAAAAAAAAAATTGTAATAAGGTGCCGTTTGATAACATTATTTTTTCAACCCCATTTCGTAGCTCGAAATGACGTGGGTCGAAAGGCCCGAATTGCTTTGTACACCCATCCCTTTCTTTGTACACCCTCCCTCCCTCTGTTCATCCCCTCCTTTTGGAAAACTCACGCACGCGCGCGCGCACACACACACAGAGCTCCGTTCATCCATCCCCTCCCTTTGGTGTCAAATTTTTATTTTTATTTTTATTTTTTTTTTCCAGAAGAAGTAGAAAATCAGAGGAGGAGGAGGAAGAAAGGAGGAGGGAGGAGGAGGAAGGAGGAGAAGGACTGGAGGGGGCCCAATTATTAGAGCTGGAGGCGGAGGCGGAGGCGGGGGGCGGAGGCACGATCGGGCGGAGGCGACGAGCTGTGAGCTGCGACGGCGGGCGGAGGCGACGAACGAGCTGCGAGCTGCGACGAGCTCTTCTCTCCTCTCCTCTCTTTTTCTCCCTCTCTCCTCCTCTTCCCCTCTGTTCTCCTGTGTTCAACGAAGTTCAACGAAGAAGAACAAGAAAATCGCAAAACGACGTGGTTTTCAAATTTCGGGCCATTCAATCCTCACCTATTTCGAGCTACCACCTATTTTTCTTATACAAAATATCACTACCAAACAATTATGTGTTACAATTGTTTTATTTATTTTGTTTTGGGAGAGGTTTCGGGAGGGGAAAGAGGACAAAAATCCAGAGGGAGGTTGGCATTGTTGTAAGTAAATGAGAAATTACAATTCAGTGATTTTTTTAAAATTTTTTTTTATAGATACATGAAAAACTTTAGTTTTAATTATTTATATTTATAAAATTTATCATTGATATGTAACTTTTTTTTGTAAATTTGCACTGAATATAATTTTCCCATAAGTAAAAGCAGTTAGTATTCATGTATGCATTAACATATATATATATATATATATGTAAAAGGGGAAATTACAACCCAGTGGGTTTTTGCAAAAAAAAAAAAAAAAAAAAAAAAAAGTTACAAATACATAGAAAAGTTTAGAATTTTAATTATTAATGTTTATAAAGTTAAACAGATAACAAAATTTAGATAGATTTTTGGCTTGGTGTTGCAACATTTTCTTTGGCTCTATATTTCAATAGATCTCAATTTTAAACAGATAGCATTTCACACAGATAGATTTTGAACTTATATATAATCAAAATTTTAATAGATAGAATTTTGCCAGATAGAATTCAGGAAAAAAAAAAAAGAACAGAAAATAGAATTGGAATAGATAGATTTAAGTAGATAAATGAAAAATTGAACAGATAATAAAATTTAGACAAATTTTTGAATAGATAAGGCAAAAAAATTGATCAAATAGTCAATAAATTTGAATACATAGATAATAATTTGAATAGATAGATATAAAATTTCAACAGGTAGAAAATAATTTGAACAGATAAATATAAATTTAAATAGATAGTCAACCGGTAACAAAAAAGTCAACGACCAAGTTAAGGGTAAAATTAAAAATAAAATATCTTTCAAAATTAACAAAAAAACTTCCCGTTAAATTATTTTATGAAAAATCAATCTTTCACCAAAAAAAAAAATTGTAATAAGGTGCCATTTGATAACATTATTTTTTAGTTTAAAAGTCAAAAATTACTAAAAGAAATTAAAAAATTAACTTATACTAAAAAATTAAAGATTTTATTTTCTCTCTACCTTATACATATCTTTTTATAAAAAATTTAAAAATCATATCAAATATAATTTTTTTTTTTTAAATTTTAATCAAAAAATTATTAAAATAACCTATTTCCAACCAGTGATAAACTTTATACCCTGTGCCATCTTGAATTTTAACTTTTCAACAACTAATCAAAGCTTTTTTCCAAGTCGCCGCACGAGCTCACCTGCCTCTCTCTCTCTGCTATCATGCGCACCTGCTTCCCTTTATACTACGCTGCCTAACTTTTTCTCTCTTTTTCCTTTCTGGTACGTCCCCCGTCTCTCTCTCTCTCTCTCTCTCTCTCTCTCTCACTAGGATTGCTCAACCCGTCTCTCTGTCCCCTCTTTAAAAAAAAAAACAGTTTCTCGGGAAAATTTGAAGTTCGCTCCGGCTAAATCCTCCATTTTCCTTCGTCATGCCATTTTGATTTCACCAGAATTTTTTTTTTGTTTTCTCGAGAAAATAAGACATTTTCCGGGAAAACATAGCAACAATTCGTATTAATTCGTTGAAATCGCTGTTGATTTGATTTGATGCTAGGATTTTATCATTTGGACAGCATTGGAATGAGCAGATCAGGCCACGGACTCTGGGTTTGAAATTCCAAAACTGTTGAAGAAGAAGAAGAGGAGGAGGAGTGGTTTGGAGGAGTGGATTGGTAATTTTGAGGAATGGAGGCTACGTGTGGGACGACTCTGCAATTTGCGTCGCCATGGATTGGATCGGAGAAGATTGAGGGGAGATTGAATGGATTTCTAAGGGTTTCTCAGAGGCGTAGAAAAGATTATAGGCTTAAATCGATTCATTTCACCGAGTTTCAATGGAGAACTGAGTCGACTCCGCGTCGACGGGTTTCTTCCTCTGTTTCACACCCTTGCAATGATTCTCAAGGTAGTCAAGGGTGCCCTTGCTTTCTTCCTTCGTTTTTTTTTTTTTTTTTTTTTTTTTTTTTTCCTCTTTTTATTGCCTTTTTTTGATAAATTACAGATATACCCTGAAGTTTGCTTAAAAATACGAATTGTTTTCTATAGTTTGAAAAATTGCAAATATCTCTCTATTAAAATTTTTTATTCAACAGAATTAATTAAAAAAATAAAATTTCTAAATGTTCACTTATACAATAATAAAATTATCTGAATTATTAATTAAAATAAAATTTTAAAATTATTAAAAACTGTTAATTAACTTGATAATTTATTAATAAAAAGACTTATTTGTTATAAAATTAGAGACCTTCGGGGTATAATGTAATTTTTAGAATCACATGGATAATTTATAATTTAAGTAAATCTCAAGAATGTATTTGTAATTTATCTTTTTTTTTTTTTTTAACATATGTTCCTTATAATTAAGAAAATAACATAATTTAATATTTTTAAGTCATAATTTAAAAAAAAAAGCAGTCATAATCAAACGCAATGAGATGTAATCAAATATCTCAAAATAGTATCGTAATTAAAAAAAAAATCATAACACAAAAAAAAATGACATAATTGACTATAAGGGATGTGTATAATAAAATTCTCCTAGTTAATTAGATGGACTGAGAAAGTAAATTTAAAAAAAAAATTGGAAAAAATTCCATAGAAGAAAAAAAAAAATTAAATTCTCAGGTGGATTAAAAAATTAAAAAATTTTAACATAATTTTGAAAAAAAACCAAGACAAAAAATTGGAAAAAAATATGACTATTTTAACTTCATGCGATCCTCTATAAATTAGGCTGACCTACTATGAGATTTAGAAAAAAAAAATGTCTTGCAGTTTGAATAATTATGGCGACCTCTGAATTAACTAATAAATATAGTATTCGTTTGGGATGTAGATTGACTTTTTAGTTTTTTGGTTATTTTAGTCTGGGGTTAAAAATTCTCGTTTGAGATGGGTTTTTTTTGACTTTTTTAACTTGTGCAAGAGAAAAAATAAATGATTATGAATTAAATGTAACATTTTGTCTTGGCTTTTTAGCATATTTTGTCTTTTTGTGGTTAAAATAACCGAAAAAAAGCTTATGCCAAATATAACCATAATGCGAAGATACAAAAGAGATATAAGCTAAAATACATTTGAATTTTAAAAAGATGATAATATTATTATTATTATTATTATTATTAGAATTTAGAGCATCTCCAATTCATTTTTTTCATCAAATTTAAATTTAATGAAAAAGTGCTCAAAACCACCTCTAATCTGTTCATCAAATGTTCATCAAATCAAGGAAGAGACATTTTTCCATCAAATTAGAATTTGATAAAAATTTAAAAAGATGAAGCATTGAAAATGTTTTTTTTCATCAAGTTTGATGAAAAGATAAATTTGGAATAAGAGGGGAATTTTCAATAAGATTTTGATAAAAATTTGATGAAAGGGTTGGACTAATTCATATCATATCAAACTTTTTACTCAAATTTTGAATCAAATTAGATTATAAAAAAAAATGATGAGGGGTTGGAGATGCTTTTAGTAATGAATTATTGATGAAAAATTAGTTGAGTGTTATGTGGATTAAAATTTTAATGAAATCTAATATAATTATTGCTAAACTTGTAGGAGGAGGTCGTCAATGTAATTTACCCTATTTGTTATTGTTTGCTAATGCATGTAGCTACTTTTACTTTTGAATGATTTGAATTTGTTAAAATGTGTACTATTTACTGTTTATATGTTTATTTTATGTAAAATACATGTACCTTTTCATATGTCAATGATTTGGATGGCCTTTTTAAAGCAAAGATTCACTGCTCAGTGTAAAATACCTTAGAAGACAAAGTTAATTAGTATTGTAAATTCGTGAACAAGAGAGTATTATAAATTCTTCACACTTGAATAATTTCAGAATTTTCTAAATGCTTGAGTTATTTTGAAAGTACTCCTGAAGGTGTGAGAAATAACAAAATTTCCCTGAGCTGAAACAAAGAATTCTTGGCCACTCACACATAAGATACCCACTATAAACTTGTTAACCTCATAACCCTAGTTTTTGAGACTCAACCTAGAAATTACTTGACATGAAATGAGTAATATACATTTATATTTGTATATATAAAAGTGTGATGGCAGATTTTCCTAGTTAACTTTAGATCAGCACTTATTTTGGTAGTATTTTGACACTAAATCTGATCTCCCATTTCCCTTGGAAATCTTGTTGTTGAGGTTAATGAACTAATTGTGCTATCCCTGGGAATCTGGACAAGGGACAAGAGAAAAGGTTACTGTGGAAGATAAATCATGCTACTCATGCAATTTTTAAATTGGGGTGGGAGATGATAGTAGAAACGTATAGCATGTATGACATAAGGAGCACACTGGTCGTATCTACAAATGTGACCCATCCTGTGGTTGCTCCTATTATGCAGTATGAATTAGAATATCTGTTTAGAGAAAGCAAGTTAATGCTGAGAGTTCATGTTTGTCTATAACAGGAAAGTTGTTGGAAGAGGTGAAGAAGTTTTCAAAGTGAATACTAATAAATATGAACCAATATATGGACAACAGTCCTCTGTTAGAAAGGTATCCTATAATCTCTGAGCATCCCATTCAACCTCAATAATAAAAGTTGTGGAAAAAGTTTGGTCATAATACTTAAAAAGCTACTTTTCATTTCTAGGGGAGACCAAAGTTCCGACCTTCACTCAATTTAATGGTCCTGCTCTTGGTTTGAAAGGGATGCCATTGGCATAAAATTGTTAGAGAGCTTTGAGATCATTCTCCAATCTGGAATAGTCATAATTTACTGGTTCTTGGTGAATAAGCCCTATGTCAGACTTAAAATCAAGTCCCTCTCTCTCTCTCTCTCTCTCTCTCTCTCCCCCCCTCTCATTTGCCTTTTTTGTTTTTTGTTTTTGCTTTTTCTGGATCAAGCCATTGTAACCATGGCTTATTTGTCCTTCTCTCTTTTGCTGACCTCTGGTTTCAAATTGTGATTATTTTGTAGCTCCTGCACCGCAATCAGGAAATTTTCACAGTTTTGATGAAAATTGGTTGTTAAAGGTATGATATGCTGCTGCTATCATTCAACAATGTCCCTGGAATTCTGTAGCACGAGCTTTTCACAGCCATGTAACTGGATGTTGCTGTGATTGCAGAGAAAGGGTGAGGAGGTTGCTTCATATTTAAATGGTCGCTGTATATTTCTTGTTGGTGAGTTTTCTTTTGAGAATTGTCTTCCATAATCGTACTTCAAGTTATTTTTGTGATTGAACTCTATGGAACGTGGAATCCAGGAATGATGGGCTCCGGAAAGACTACAGTGGGCAAGATTTTGTCTGAAGCACTAGCTTATTCTTTTGTTGACAGGTTAGTGTGTTGACTTTACTGTGCTTGTTCTGTTTTTTGATGAGTACAATATTTTATAGACCAGAAAACACCGTAAGGGGGCGAACCCTGAACAATACCAAGCAAAAACTATGCATCACAGTTGGGATTACTTAGCATGGAGGTCATTTAGTTTGTTGCCATTAATTGGTATTGAAAGGTGTACTGTATATAGGTTCTGGAATTAAGTTTGGAATCTGAAAAAAGTACGGAGTGGGTGGATTCAGACAATTTGAAAAATATGGTTGCGTTTGGTTTAGTTTTAGAATCATGTTTTGAGAATAGAGTTGTATTTCGAGTTTGTGAGTTGTTGAATCATGATTTGAAAAGAGAAAATTTATTTAGTTATGAGTTTTCAAAAGAGTTTTGAAATAAAAAAAGTTGTTTGGTTATGATTTTTGTAAACAGTTTTCAAAACTTAATTCAAAAACTTATAACTCATAACCGAACACACAATTCAAAACTCTATTAAAAATTCTATTCAAAGCTCATAACCAAACTCTTTTTAAAATTCAATTCAAAAAAATAATTATTGAAAAAAATAATTTTTTTATTTTAAAAATTCAAAAATTCTGAAAATATTTTTTAATTTAAAATATTAAAAAATATATATTATTTTTTGTTAAAAAAAAATATTTGGTTAGTGCTTTAAAATTACTTTTGATTGTATATTTGATTGGAATATTTTTTTAATTGTTTTGTTTAAAAATGTTTTTTTATTTTTAAAAAATTACCGTGAAAAATTAATTTTTATTAATTTTTTTTGGTTAATTTTAAGTAAATGGTTAAATAATTTGTCATTTTGGTCTAAAAAAAAATAATTTCTATATTTAAAAAATATCAAAAACGAATATAAAATTTTTTTTTTCAAATAACAGGTGGCAATTGCAAAAAAAATAAAATAAATAAAAATACTGTTCCTATCAACCGGCCGGACTACCGGATAGACCCAAAAATTCAAAAACTATCTAGGAGGAGGTCTGGGCGGACGACCGGGTAAACCCAAAAATTCAAAAACTCTCTGGTTATCAACCATGTTTTCAAATGTGATTTGGAATCATGTTTTGAAAACTATAATCAAACAGAGGGTTGAAATATGAGGGTGAAATCATGATTCCAGAATGGAACCAAACAGAGCCTATGTTTTTTTTTTGTTTTTTCCCCATTGATATGGTAGAATGCTGCTAATTTTAAAGGTACTGTGACTCGTAAAAACAATGTCTATTGGTGCAAACAAGATATGCAGAACTGAATATTAAATTGGTGAGGCTTGAGTTTATGGAATTTAAATTGAGCTTAGGCTTTTTGAAACTTGATTTGTATACTTTTCACCAAGCTTCAGCTTGTTAACTAGCCTAATCGAACATACATATATTGCCATTTCATAGCATACTAGTAGAATTAGTGATTGGAAGTTGCTGGCATACTGCACTTGCTTACTCCATTGCCCATGACACTGCAGTGGCTTTGTAGTATTTGTCAGCATCTTTCACTTTGAATCAAGGTTAGTGACGTTCAACTTGGCTTGTTGGGTCTCCAGAAAGATGGCAAATAGGGGGATGAAAAGAGTCTCTATTATCTTTAAAATGTTCCAGATTTCAGATTTTTTTAGTCTCTATTTTACACTTTTACATGACAACATTTCATATTGGATTTGATATGACAACTGCACGCAACCTGTTTCTTGTAGCTTAGTGACTCCTTTCTACATGTTGCATTACATTGCTTCCTTATAATCTTCCTCTGTAAGCTGCATGCTTGTTTCTATTTTTTGCAACTGTTGTTCTTGCTGGGGGTGTAGCATTAGATACTTCTTTTATGTATAGGGGGGTGTTCATCATCTAGCTCATAGTTAATGATGTTTAAGAAATTGAGCTTGAAGCTTAAACTTGAGCTTAGTTTGTTCCAATGCAGATTGAGCGGGGACGTGCTTCTAATTTTTAGTTACGATTAAGCTGTTCTCTTTGTATTTGTCTTGCCTTGTAAACAAGTTTCTCTATATTTATGGTTAGTTTTTATTTTATTTCACTTGTTTGATTATCAATCTTTTTTCTATTAAAATTCTTGAGGAAGACAAAATCCTGATGGTCCTCGAAAGCACCATTTGTAACTGAACAATTTCTGTTGAATATGTTCATTAACAATCATATCCAATATCTTTATTTGTTGCAGTGACAAATATGTTGAGGAGTCTCTGGGCGGAAGTACTGTGGCTCAGATCTTTAAGAAGTTTGGTGAGAGTTTCTTTCGAGACTATGAGGTTTGTTAATTAACATTGGATTTATGTTAAAGTGCTGCATCATGTGATTTGTGATTTTTAGTCTAGGTACAGTATTCTTGCAACTTTCTTGTTTAGCTGCTGGTTGAGAGGCTGTTTTCCTTTTTCCTTGCATCTTCTTCTTTGGATTTCTATTTTCTCTACTTCTGGTGATAAGAATCATAGGCATAAATTGGTGACTTGGTATGTTATTCACCGGAAACTAGAACCCAATAAATAAATAAATAATAAAAAGGGGAGACTGGGAGAACAACTCCACATGCCTTGCCCCCTTCTTTGGATTGTTGATTCTGGCAAGTATTGTTTGGGAATATCATTTAGAGTGAAATGGAATCTCTTAGCTGAGAATTTTCTTTGAACTGTGATTTTAGCTATACAGTGAATTATGTCTGGTGGAATCTGAAGCTTAAAATAGAAGTGGCAATTGACTAATTGAAAGCATCAGCATTTTTTCATTGGCTATTCCTAAATCCACAACTATGGGCATATTGGTAGCCGCCTCTCTCACAATGATGGGTCCACCTATGTGATAGGGAGGGGGAGAACTGGAATTTAGCAATTTTTTTTCTTACTTCCATAATTTGTTCAGGAAAAATACATAATGTGTGTTTATGCTATTTGAAATGTAATAAATGAATTCTAAAAATGTTGATCTTCTGGCAAAACCTTTTCCCTAAATGTTGTGGTATGTAAGGCTCTGTTATGTAGGATTTTGCCAAGTTTTGCTGATTTTTAACGATCACATTACTGGAGCATCTTTTGATTCTAAGAATTGTAATATGTGTATGGGTGAACTAGAAGATTGTAATGCTAAAGCTAGTGGGTGTAGCTTGGGGCCTGGAGGTGTTCCCTTCAAGTCTCAGGTTCAACTGCCATTAGATGCTATCAATTCATTGGGGCCACACCCGTAGGCTCTGTCCAAGATTTGTCCGATCCACGTGGAGGGGCGCTTTGCGTGGGTCCCGGGATTAGTTGAGGTGCGTGTAAGTTAACCCGAACACCCGGTCATAAAAAAAAAAACAAAAAAAAAAAAACTAGAAGCCTGAAAGATAGAAGTTTGGAACAGCCTTTCTAGACAATAACTAGAAGCTCATTAATGCTAAAACTATGTTGATTGTAATCATTTTGTTTTGTTGATCAATCACATAATCTGCATCGTTTAAATTTATATTGAATAATCTGTACTGTATATTTTTTACTTACCGGAAAAAAGCCTTCTCTTCCATTCCCTTAGAGTGAGGCGCTGAGGAATTTGTCTTTAATGCCGCGACAAGTTGTTGCCACTGGTGGTGGTGTAGTGATTCGCCCTATCAATTGGTATGTGAGCCATGTATATGGACTTTGGTCTTTTGTAGTCTTTTCTTGTTTGTACATGGCCTAACTCAGTTGCAAAATCAATTTTCAAGATTATGTTCTTTGAAATTTCAGGGAACATATGAAGGAGGGGGTCACTGTCTATCTAGATGTTCCCTTGGATGCCTTGGCACGCAGAATTGCTGCTGTAGGCACTGGCTCTCGTCCTCTCTTGGATTTTGATTCAGGGGATGCTTACACTAAGGTAGTTATCAATACCTTCACCTCTTTTCACTAAGGGGGCCTGGAGGTGTTCCCTTCAGGTCTCAGGTTCAACTGCCATTAGATGCTATCAATTCATTGGGGCCACGCCCGTAGGCTCTGTCCAAGATTTGTCCGATCCACGTGGAGGGGCGCTTTGCGTGGGTTCCGGGATTAGTTAAGGTGCGTGTAAGTTAACCCGAACACCCGGTCATAAAAAAAAAAAACCAAAAAAAAAAAAAACTAGAAGCCTGAAAGATAGAAGTTTGGAACAGCCTTTATAGACAATAACTAGAAGCTCATTAATGCTAAAACTATGTTGATTGTAATCATTTTGTTTTGTTGATCAATCACATAATCTGCATTGTTTAAATTTATATTGAATAATCTGTACTGTATATTTTTTACTTACCGGAAAAAAGCCTTCTCTTCCATTCCCTTAGAGTGAGGCGCTGAGGAATTTGTCTTTAATGCCGCGACAAGTTGTTGCCACTGGTGGTGGTGTAGTGATTCGCCCTATCAATTGGTATGTGAGCCATGTATATGGACTTTGGTCTTTTGTAGTCTTTTCTTGTTTGTACATGGCCTAACTCAGTTGCAAAATCAATTTTCAAGATTATGTTCTTTGAAATTTCAGGGAACATATGAAGGAGGGGGTCACTGTCTATCTAGATGTTCCCTTGGATGCCTTGGCACGCAGAATTGCTGCTGTAGGCACTGGCTCTCGTCCTCTCTTGGATTTTGATTCAGGGGATGCTTACACTAAGGTAGTTATCAATACCTTCACCTCTTTTCACTAAGGGTGTGCGATTTGTAGGGGGAAAGGAAAAAAGAAGTGAATAATGAAAGAAATATAAGCTAAATTTTTTTCTCGTTTCCCTTCCTAATTCCATTCCCTCCACAAAGTCTCACTCAAAACCTTAATTCAGACAGAGTCCAAATTAAATTCTTCAAATGTTGTCGTCTGACTTGATGATTTGGGGTCCAATCAAGGAGGCAAAAAAATCTGGTTATTGGTTTTGACACTTTCCTCAACCTCTTATTGGTTTCGACGTTTTCGCCAACATCTTTACAGGCTTTCATGGGTTTGTTTACTCTTTCAAAAAAGAGAGGGCATGCTTATGCTAGTGCTGATGCTACGGTATCCCTTCAATGTACGTTTTCTCAAATGCATTCGCATGTTTCTTCATCCAGCTTTCTTTCTTCTTTTGTTGTTTATGGTTGAACACTTGAAGGCATGTCACTATCTGAATTGCAATTATCTTAATGAAATCTACACAGAATTATGTTGACTTATGATATGTAATCCTTACACTCTGTTCCATTTCATGTTTATGCATAGAAGTAAATTTTAACCGTCTTTTCAGATATCGCAGCGGATCTAGGTCTTGATATATCTGATATCACACCTACCGCTATAGCACTAGAGGTGCCTCTGCATCCCTGTCTCTATTTACTTGCTCTTTGTAGAGATTACGTGTTTGGATGTCCTTGAATTTACATGGTTCATTAGCGACTTAATTACATGCTATTCTAATATATACCATGTGTTGTACATATACATATATATAGATCCACTTAGGTTCTATATACATATATCATTTTCTAAAACAGCTTCTGATTCTGATGGGCGTGTTGAATGTGTTGATAGGTACTGGTACAAATTGAGAACTTCCTCCAACGCAACAATGGCATGTCCATCAAAATGTTCCCTTAACCTTATGCATACATGGTTATTTTTCCTCAGCTGTTTTCTTATCTTATGGGCTTCATACCTACTTTTTTATGATGGAACTGTTATAACATCCCAAACCAAGAACATAACAGAATTTTAAAAATAGTTGTCTTGACTGGTTGGTTGATTATGTGTACTAGGAGTGCAACAACTGAACAGGTTGGTTCAGTTTTTTCATTACATTGATTTGGTTCTAAGCTTTAAAATCAACCTGATGGGATTTGGGTTGAGTTCTGGTAAATCAAACCAACCCAAGACTGGAACCCATATATTGTAAAAAATTTATTTTTGTTCACACGTCTTCCTGTAATTGTTTTGTTATAAATACTAAAAAGTGGACTTAATTGTACTTTATTATTTCATATACAAGATAAAAGTTGAGGGTAATTATAAATAATTATTTGTGGTTGTTTAACTTGTATTAGATTTTAAAACAATATTAGAAAATGCTATGGTGTGCATATGGTATGCACCCTACTATAAATGTGCAACTTTATCACAAAATTTTGTAATGTTAATTACAAAGTGCGTGATCTCGCCACAAACTGGCATAATAAAAAATATTATAATTAAGTCACAAATTTTTGCAACATCAGCCACAAATTTTTGGGGGTTTTGTTACAACAATTTGTGGCAAGATTATGTATTTTGAGGTTGTTATTACAAAATTTTATAATAAAATTATACATGTCGTGGTAGGCGTGCACACCATAGGAGAACCCACAATATTTTGTTCTTTTTCTGTTTTTATTATTTAAAAAAAATGTTGAAGGTTTGTTTATTTTAATTATTTATTATTAATTGATTCATTTATTTATAGTGTGGTGGAACTGTGATTTCAATCCGAACTAATCTAAGCTACATCTGGTTGGGTTGGTTTGGTTTGGTTCTTGGTCCAAAAATTTAAAACTGATTATGATTGGTTTGGTTATAAATTTAGTGCTAATTCAAACTAAATTGATCCATGTGGGTAGGGGTGTACACGGTGCGGTTCGGGTGGTTTGAGAGTAACATTGTAGACCGAATAATAGATTAGTGGATTGACAATCGCAATTTGAGTGATTTTGAACGGATTGGTTGATTGAAGAATATTTTAACCAATTATCAAGTTTTTACATAATATATAATACTAATTTGCATAATTTTTTTCATAAATATAACACAAACTAATTTTGTATAATATTTTTCATTTATATAACTATTAATTTGTAATAAATTTCACACTTTAAATCTCTCACACTTATTTTTACTTTGATATTTTATTATAGGTTAAAATATATATATATATATATATATATATGTATTAACTATAACGGAGTGAAGTGATTTAAAAAACGGATTATAAATTTTAAAATTTAAACCACGGTTAACGGATAGAGCGGTGCGGATTGATGTGGATCGGTATAGTTTTAACAGATTGGATAATATTTTACACAATTCTACATGTGGGTGTACATGAAAAAGGCTTTAATGACAAAGACCTTCTTAAAAGTTTGGAGAAAATATACCAAACCTAACAATTTTAGCATAATTATATTGGGCTCAGTTAATATTTTAATTCAAATTAGTCTATTTTCATTGGTAATTCATTGGTTATATAGATGAAAAAAATGATATTGTTATCTTTCATATATTGAAATGCATATTTTATTTTGTTTAACTTTGTGTGTTTATCTATCTGCATTAGTCTAAGTTCTTTTAACCTTATTAAAAAGAATTATCAGTGCAATTATGTTAAAACCGACCCGTTTATTTTTTAGGCTCTTGTGAGTAGCTTATCAATAAAAAATTATATTCATTTAATTATTATAATAACATGTTTTAATTATATTTTGTATTAAAAAATATAAACAGACTATTTTTAAATTAACTTGTCTATTTCTTTTATAGATAAATGTAACGTAATGTCTAGACTACAATTTCATCCGCGGAGTTTATTTCTTTCTGTTTGGATGATCTATACCTTGGAGTCTTAAAGAAAATGAATTGGCTCATCAAAATAAATTATTTATCCGGCATGAAATACAAAAACTTGAAAATATTTTGCATTTTCCTATTGATTTTTTTTTATTTAAAAAAGTCACCAATTAAAAGACCTTTTTTTATTTTTATTTTTTTTTTAAAGATTGGAATTAAAAACAAAAAATTTGACATAAAAATAAATTATTTTTTAACTTCTTGTTTTTCGTGACAAGCAAACAATTTGTTACACAAGAAGTAACACTTGAGCTAGATAACACAAAATGTATCTGTTGTTGGCACCTTAAAGCTACTACACCAGTGTTCCCATATGAGAAAATCAATTACTCTCTCAGGTTAATGTTATAGCTGTTCCAAAAAAATTTCATTTATTCTAAACAATGTTCATTGTGAAGTTTTGCAGATACAAATGTTGCTACTGAAAGACATTGAAGAAAAAGCTACAAAACAATATTACAAATATTTGCCAATACTATCCAAATGAAGTTTTTATATGCATTAAACCCCCAACCCAACCAAAAAAGAAAAAGAAAAAGAAAAAGAAAAAGAAAAATAGTGGTTCTAATCTCTGGTTTTTTTTTTTTTTTTTGGATATAAATTCTGAATGCACCAAGTAACCAAAGGGTATTAAAAAATAAAATTAAAAATAAAAAAATAAAAAGCATACGTACTCTTTGAGCTATTTATTTATTTAAGATTTTCTTAGTGTAACAAATGTTAGACCGATCTCATAAAAAAGCCCTCCGGATTGTCCTCGCAGCAACACGAGACATCAACTTTCCGGTCAGATCAACCGGCAAACGAAGTACCTGCTGCTGTAAATCTGCTGGGAGCTGCCAAATATACCAGAGCAAATGTTACATCTTAAAATGGGATAAAAGGCTTGTCTCTGTCGTTTTACTGAATAAATAAAAAAATTAAAAAAAGCAAAAAATCTAAAACAAGATGTAAAGGAAGCTAAAGAAAAATAGGACTGCAACAATGGCATGCCCTCCCCAGTCCAATCTGACCAATGGGCAGTCTTAGGGTTAATTTCATTGACATAATAGCATTTGGCTTCTTGTAGCCAAATTGCTACCCGAGGTAAACAGAAATTTTTCTCAGGGAGCCGAGCTAAGTGTAAAAACATTAAGTTATTTTTTCGAAAATGATATAATTATTTATTTAACTGTAATAAAAAAAATTAATAAGAAAAATCAATAGAACTATGTTAGTTATTTCTTAACACTTATCTCAATTACTTAATACAATTTTTGGGCTACATAATTAGGATCTTAGTATATAAATTTATTAGTTTGTCATTTTAAGGCATTTTTAAAAACAATATACATTATAGGAATACTCATAAATTGGAGAACTATTAAATTTATTTATTTTTTTTTTTTGAAAAACCTAAGGAGCCCATGGCCTGTCTTGACCCACCCTTAGCTTCGTCCATGGCTTCATTTTGATGTATACTTAAAGTAAATGTGTCGATGCTCACAATTAATATACTAAAAAAGGGTGGCACAAACGCAGAATTTCTGTAAATTTCATGGATGGATAGGTCAATTATATAAATGTCTATATGCTTTGATTCTTACCTCGAGTATAACAGAAAGAAGAGGTAGTATTTCCTGAACAGATGCAAATTGGTAAAGGACTAGTGACGCTTCTTCCCCAGAGTTCCTTCTCTGACTCTTGTATGGATTGGCTTCCTCAACTCCCTACAAGGTAAGCAATTAATGAGCATATATTTGCAAGATTAGAACATTATATATCAAACAAAACCACAAACATTTTACCTTTGCTATATGCTTCACAAAAGTGTTCAGGATTAAGGATTTACCCTCTGTGAGATATCACATAATTCAAGTTCTTTGTAAGGTACTCTTTATTTTTTTTATTTTAACAAATAAGCTAGCAGGCGTTCATGTTTTCCCTCAATTTTTCAGAGTCCTGTCAGAGATAAATAGTACTTTTTGTGCAATTCCCAGTGGAAAGTAAGTCCTTGCATCTTATTGGTAAAAATTAATACTTGAAATTCAATAGATCCCCGGTTTTCTTCTTTTTCTTTTTGTGAAATAACTAAAATGAATGGAATTTTTTAGAATATCACATTATGATTTATAAATTAACTTAGAAAATATGAGGAAGAAGAACTCCAAAAAATATGAGGAAGAAGGAATATATTTCTGTTATATTCAAAACTTCTTATCTTACAAGACCAAATGACACCATGCAAGCATGCATGCTTCTGTGCTTGTGAATATCCAATCAGTAACCACCACCAAAGTCATGCATTAAACTACATCAGAAACTTGGGCACCTTGCTTATTCTCATCAAATGTCCTTAAATCATTGCAATACCAAGCGAGCAAAGGCTCTTACCGTGTTAGAGCTTTCATTCTTTGGAACCCCTGACAACAATAGCACAAGCCTTTGGAATGTTCTCAAGTTCGTGATATCCTCCTCCGTCATTGAAGAGGAAGATAGGGAAGCAGCAAATGGTAGGCCTGCAGTTGCTGCAGACGTTATACAATCCACAGTTGCTAGGCCAAGTGCATCCAAACCCTATAATTATTAGAAGAAACATCAGGAATACAAGAAGCAACTACAAGAAGAAGATAAAAGGGTGAGAAACATTTACTTTGTGACTTCATTAAATTGTATGGATGCTTGATCGTTAGTAAATCAATGTATTGTGGAATACATGAATGGTGACCGCACAATTAATTCTACAGGGAAAGATCTATCATGGCTGATGGCACAAGTGATCTAGTAGCCCATTTTTACCTTTCTTGATTTCCTTTTTCTTTCTTCTTCTTTTTTTTTTAATTTTTTTTTTTCAAAGTGCCTTGTTATTGTACAGGAAATTACGTAAAGTATTCTATATGGAAGTCATGGAAAAAAGTGTCTTATGACCTTTTACATTTGCAAAAGTTAATCATTTGTATGTATTGCAATGGGTGATACGAGGGTACTTCTATTTGCACACCATATTTTGTCTTAGTTCATACCATTTGTGCCATTTGGATATCAACTCCCGAAAAAAAAAAAAAAAAATCAAAATTTCAGATATCAACTTCCGAATAAAAATAAGTTGTTTGGATTGGATACCAACCACTGAACAATATTTATATTTGAACAATTCATTTTTGTTCCGAAGTTGATATCCGAGAGGCAAAATTTTGTGAATAGAGAATATATGTATTGTGCAAATAGAACCATCTGTGATACCATCACGTACAAAGAAGACAATTCCACTATTGACTGCAAATAGAACCATCTGTGATACCATCACGTACAAAGAAGACAATTCCACTATTGACCAAGATCGTTAAGTGTGCCAGGCTCATGGCAGATTGACCCTCACAATTTCTTAGTGTCTACAATTTTGGTGATTGTTGAAGCTATGTTGCTTGGAACATGGATTGTTCCAGTACGTGGAATGGGAAAGTGCCACATGCTCTAAAATGTGATACGATGGGATAGACTTGTAGATATAACACTTCAGAATTTAAGGTAATTCTAGAGTAATTTTCCTTTAACTATTAGGCATTCAACAATATGTAGTTAGTAAAACATTTTTATGAGTACAATGACCCATTTTTTATGTTGTCTTATGAAAACTTAACTCACGCTAGATTTTAGTTCATTATATTTAATTTTTTTCCTCTTAAGGAAACATTTAAGGAAATATATTGGAAGAAAACTTTTGGGATCACTTCGGATCACTAAATTTACTGTTTTGGAATGGAAGTGTACCATGTTTCGAAATGTGCATACCAATACATAATTCGCTAGGGTTTTATCCTTTTTTGGTAACATAGTGTTGAAGACACTGAAAAATATACCTTAGCAAATTCTTGAAGAAGTATTTCTCTTACAAATGCACCCTGCAATGTTTCCAATCAGATTTGAGGTTATTATCATGATTCAGTCTACAATCAATTATGAAAAGGAACATTTAAACTCAATAATACCTTCTCAGTTAATGTGAAAGAAAGGATTTGCTTGACCATCATCCTGGAATCACTATCTTCTACTTGCTTCTTCTCTGTTCTGGCACGAAGAGACTGTCATAAGAGCATATTAGGGTCTGAGAAAATTAATTGATGTGATCAGAAACCACAAAAAGAAACATACGGTTGGAAAGGACACATGAAAATATAGAATCTTTGCATATAGAATATTCAAACAAATTTTCAAGAAAATCAATGATTGTTGTGAGCAATTTGTAGCTCAAACAATTTTCACACAGGTGGTCTACCGCAAGATCAAGATTAACACCATCTATGGTACTTCACGGAAAGTGAATGAGAATCTAGAATTTATCATGTCAACAAATTACCTCATTATAAGTTTAATTTTAAGACCATATTTCTGACCCATGTTATGCTGCCAATAACAAAAGAGTGAGCTGAATTTTTAACCAAAAGCTGGCAACTTGGAGATTTGATCAGCTGTTTCATTGAATTGAGCTAAGAAGCTGGCTGGCTTGCTGAGACCACGGCATATTGGTTGAACCAGATTGAACTGTATTTATCTATCTATCTAGATACATATTTCTTCTTGTTTTTCCATTTGTTCTTGAAAGTTAAGTTTGTCAAGGCTAGTGAGAAAATAAGTCAAGATAGCAAGAGAATGATGTCTAGTAATAAACCAAATCAAAGAACCACGGATGGAACTGAATTGTGAAAGAAGGATTTACGTAGACAAACTCAACTAGTTGCAATACAATGCTTCATGAAATCGAGCATATTCATAAAACAGAACCAAACAAGCCTCACATCTTGTCTAACGAAATGGAAGGTCCCGTTTTAAGACATTAAGACTACTGCTATCCAGTTATTTTCTCCTTTAGTTGTCCCTTCTCCTTCACAGATTAAAATAGTTAGAATATGAGCATGAATTTCAATGCTGAAAAATGAAAAGTAAGGGCCATGAAACAACCAAGTCCTTTTCAATGAACATATAGTTTCCTATTAAGTTATACTTTTCTCATGAAATTTTTGTGGATTCCTATTAACACATGAACCAGTCCATTCAACAGTCTTAGCAAAGATTGATGCAAAATATAAGAAGCTCAAGGAAAAGTAAATTCAAAGAAGTGGCAATATTTGAAAAGTGGCATGATTTCAAAGAAATAATAATAGGAACCATTCATAATCATGTTTCTAGTATTATTTGAGTCTTATTTTATGATTAGTTTATATTTTCTAGAATTTTTAGGTCAAGGGTATTTTGGTAAATTTCATATTTGCTGATATGAGTTGTAGGGGAGCTTCTATTTACACACACTAAACTCCCTTTATACACACACTTAATGAAGAGTGTGTAAAAAGTGTAGTGAGGGGGAATATGTAGAAAGTGTATATTGTGTGTGTAAATAGAAGCTCCCGAGTTGTAGGGGTAACCCATGGGTCGTCTTGTGGGTCAAGTTACTTAATTGGGTTTTATTTATGCTTCTTATTTGGTCTTGGACTAGTTTTAGAAGTCAAAGATATTGTAATAGTTTCTTTTTTTATTTTTATTTTTTTATTTTTTATTATAGTTGGTTTAGGAAGTCTCCTAATTTTATATAAAGTCATGTAATGCTAATAATTTAATAAAATTGATATTTTATAAAAATTTGACAGCTTTGAAGCTTCTTTATGGATTGTGCGATGCAATCAAACTCTAGGTATGATGCGTATGGAATCTAAGTGCGATGCCTAGACCTATCTTCTTCTTTTTCTCACCCTCAAATCAACCCTAATCCCTTCCTCTACCTATTAGCCTTCAATTTAACCCTTAAAACCCTAAAGTACTCACTATTTAGGCCATCAAATAACCTATGTTTTCAAAACCTAGCGTTGTCCCTACTTGTCTTGCATCGAAGACTCAAATGGAAATTTCATGGGAAATGTATGACTTATTTGATATTTTCCCTAGTTCCTAATTAGCACCCCATCAATTATTTTGGACCCTCAATTTTTTAGATTTTTTTTTATTATAATAATAACTTCAAATGAAATTGTTAAAAAGGACATTAATAATTTTGGGACACCCAATCTCACAATTAAGCTCACACACCTACTACATCATGAGTTAGGGTTTATGAGAGCATCCACCTCCATCACTACCCATCCATCTTCTCCAAATCCAACCTTCAAAACCTTCCCACCCTCAAAACCTCGAAAACCCTTTGGCGGCAATATTCCGGCGGTAACAGGTGACAACTATTTGATTACCTACACTTCTTCGGCAATGACAATGAGTGAAAGTTTTTCCAGCAACTACAACTCCATAAGACGAGAGGAGTACAACAATAAAAGTTTAGAGGAAGTTCATAATTTTGATGGTGTTCTTAGTTCAAAGGAGATTGGACTTATAAAGGTAAGTTTCTTGAAAAAAAATGACAAAAATAATAAAAACTGTTTATTATTTTTTTCGGGACTGAACTTCCAAACATATGACCGAAATTCCGGAACACGAGGAACATGTAATTGAACATTTATTTTCTTAGGTCATGAACAAGTATGTGAAGTTGAAGTAGTAATTACATTCGTGGGTTTTGTTAGGGTTTTGGGGGGAGAGATTTTTTGGGTGTGGGGGTGTGCATTCAATTGAATGGGTGAAATGTTTTCACAAGAATAATTTTGGTATTATTTGGGTGGAGAAATTTTTTTTAAGGGTTTTAGAATTTATAAGTGGGGGTTGAAAAAAATGGAGGGTCCAAAATAATTGATGGGGTACTAATAGCAGCACTCTTACTAAATACTAAGTTCATAACTTTGAGAATAGCCAGCTTACTACTATTTTTTTTTTTCATGGGGGCACCACCTCTACTTCTACTGGAAAAGCACAGTCCATATAGAAAAGCTTTAATAGAGGCAACAAAATTTCATATTTTTTTTGGCATGAAACCCTTCAGCTGGAAGTAAATAAAGTCGAACAGAAATTAATAAAATAATATAAGAGATTAAAAAAAATTGATATTTTACCTCTGTAAGCAGAGACTCTAAACGATCTATCCTGAACACACCATCCTATTTCAGAAAAACAATGTGAATCAGAATTAAGGTTTGATAAAGTAGATATTGAGTACATGTACAGCTCTGGTTTAGTGATGGGCATGGACATACATGGAACACAACTCGAGTTGGTGCAAAGAATAAAGACAATTTGTGGATATACCTTATAAAGGAGAGCTTGTAAAGAAGCCTTCAGCTTGGGTGAACTGTCAGTTAGCACTTTTCTGGCAATCCACGGGTATGTACTACCCAAAACTTTGTAATTTGGGTCAAAGCTGATGGCAATGCCTTCCAAAACAGCAAGGCTGGAATGTATCATAAAACTTTTCTTGAGCATATTATATTAAGAATTATGGCAAGAAAAAAAAGGAAACCTGAAGTTATTCAACAAGTCCAATCAAGAATAGGCCAAGAGAATTATCTGACTATCACAAACATTAATCCAACACAGATAGGTATATACATGCACCAGTACAAGAGAATGGTACCTTCGAATAACAAGAGAAAAATATGAAGGTATTTGGAATTTGAACTTGTACCTACAAAATAAAAGAATCAAACATAATTCAAACATGGAAAGGCTCAAAAATAGTAACAAGGGCAACAGGTGTGTACTCCACAAGAAGATGAAAACCTCTTCTTTGAACAACAACAACGCTCTAAAAAATTTGCATCACACAATTTGCATGTTTTAAAACTTCAACATTTTACTGGCACCAAGACTTTGAATGTGTCAATGAAGATTTCATTTTCTATTATTCTATAATTCTTCTTTTTATATTGTTTGTTAAGGATTACATGGTCAACTAAGACATTCTTGCCCCAAGAAGAACAACATAAACTTGGGAAGAGAGCTAACGCCATAGCATTTGACTATCTTAACACTCATATAATTTTATATTTGTGCATCCAACATTTCACAAGCACTATGCTTGTGAAAGGAATCATATGCACAGTGGACTACAAGTCTCATATTCTTAACTCTTAAGAATGTCTTCTTAATTTCAATTCTATGGACTTATCACATAAAATAACACAAAGAAAACATGATAATGAAACTTGCCCTTTTATTATTAATTAAATGAAAAGAGTGTTTTACAAAATTATCCCATCCACGTCTCCAAGATTGGCTTTTAGGCTAGGTTACACGGACTCGGATACGGGTATCGGGTACGGGTGCGTATCTAAGGGTCGGACACTTCAAAATTAAAAATTAAGGATACGTGGATATGTATCCAAATTTGGATACGGGTATGGGGATACGTTAAATAGCTTTTTTTTTAAAAAATATTTATTATATGAAGATGAGTTATATTATATAAATAACAAATACAAATTATTTTAGATATAAAATAAATTATATTATACATGATAAAATAATTTATTTTTATTTTAGATATAAAAATTATGTTATTTATGATATATTATATTATATTATATATTTTGGATGAATAATATTAAATATTATTATATTAATGAAATTTATATTATATACTAATATAATACATATTATTATATTAATGAAATTTGTATTATATACTAATATAATATAAAGAAAAAGAGAAGCAAATAGACAGAGAGAACAAAAAAGAAAATAGAGGGAGATCGAGAGAAGAGAAAAGAGAAGAAAGAAGTCGGCGACCGAGAGAGAGAGTAGAGGGAGATCGAGATCGAGAGACGAAAGGAGAGGAAGAGAGATCGACAGATCGAGAGAGGAGAGAGAAGACAGAGAAGGAGATCGCGAGAAGACAGAGCAGGAGATGGAGATCGAGCATCAAGCATGTCGAAGCAGTCGAAGCAATGACCGATGTCTTCGTTGTTTCGACAGGCGACCAGGTTCTCTCTTTCTCTACCTCTTTCATTTCTTTTGCTTTCTGTAAAGAGCCGTGTCCGAGAGAGAACACGCGAATCCGACACAGATCCCACACCCGCACCCGTGTCGTGTCGTATCGACACGGGTACTTCGCCCCAAGGTGCCGAGTCCATGTAACACAGCTTTTAAGGCACAACACTAACAAGGACTTCTACATGTAGTCATTATCATGATTGCCACTACGTTGGTATCCTAGGGCTGGGAGCAGGTACTAGCCATTACCTATGGCACTCATGCTATTTTTCGTTCCTCTTTTGTTTTTTTGTCCTTTTACTTCCCTTGCCTCAGAGGAGTTCTCCTTAGTCCTTGGCATGTTGCTCTTTATCCTATATTCCTCTACGAAAAAAATGTATGGATGATCTTACTTAGGGATGTCACCACAGCCTCACTAAAACCAAACAAATAGAGCATGTATCCTTCAAATGTTTACATTAGTTACCCTCATAAGGTCCAAAACAATACCCTGAACCGAAGAAGAAAATTATCATTTAACCAACCACAAGAAACATCCAAGGTAGCACATGAACCTATTTGTTCAGTGCAGTGCTAAATTAAGTTGCAAATATATAACAGTGCATCAAAGCACCTTACATGGTGGTTCCCAAATTTCCTAGGAGATCTCCAAAGCTTATATTGCGGACACCTTTGGCAACAGCATTTTTGAACACTCCTACAGAGAAACTTCCTATATCAGTACTACCAGAGACACAGAATAAATATATTCCCACTAGAAATAAAATCAAAAAACAAAAAGTCTTCACTAATGTAAACTCCTTGTTTATAAACAGTTATTGAAGACAAAAACCTGTTAATGCCTTTGTAACAGCATCCTTGTCTGCCGTTGGTGGAAGAAGCCTGTGGAGTTTATTAAGTAACCCAGTCATACAAATGCTATCACCCCTAAAATTAATTTTTTAAGCAATTGAAGGGAAAGATAATCATGATACCCAAGAGTGACAAAGTCCGTGGCCAAGGCATCATAATCACGATTTACAAGATGGAGACAAGCTTCAATAAAACCGTCACGAAGTTCTTGTTTGAATTCACCCATCATACCAAAATCTGGGGTAAAGATACAAAAGTTAGTTGTGTGATGTATAGAACATACTGATACAATAATCAGTTATCAAACATAAGCACAACAAAGCAGTATTGATAAATGAAACGAAATAAAATCATAGCCAAGAAAGATGCAACAAGGATTTGCAAAAAAAAAAAAAAAAGCAATCTAAGGGATTGTAAGCAAAACATCACCCTAACCAAGCATTTTTTCCCCTAAATTGGTGCAAAGCTAGTTCAATATTTTTATTGGCTTTCATAAGTTTTGCAAATTAATCCAATGACACTCTTAAACCTGTTAAAATTTCTAAGAAGATAGGTGATAGGACTTCCAAAAACAATGTTTTGTTGTTTCACTTTGGTACTTGTTCATCAGCAAGTGTTGGCATGGTATGGCTAACTGGTAAACTCGAGTCTTTCAAAATCTCATGGGACAGAAAATACTTGCCATTTTGTTTCCATAGATTAAAACACAAGTTTATCATCTGGCATTTTCACAAAACAAACCAAGCCATAGCAAAACATTAAAACAGTGTTTGATTTGCTGGAATGATTTAAGGCAGAAATGGAATGACTGTTCCTTGGCCTTCCAATGGAATGGGCATTCTCCCAAATTGGTGAATGGCAATTCCATTTCCAATGTCAATTCTTTTTGTTTTACCTAACCAAACATGAGAATAAGTATTCCGATGGAGTGATCATTTCATTACAGTGAACCAAACACTACATAAGAGTAATCCAACGATAATAAAAATAATGTGATTGATGTCATTTGTAAAACCACTAGAATTTAGCAATACTAGAATAAGAAATACACTCATTTTCAATTGCTATGATAAAATGTGAAGGATTCTGTACCATCTCTTTTACTTCCCTGCTTAGTTTCGTAATTTTTTTTTACTCTTTTACTTGATTCAGAAATGACTAAAAGGTATATAAGATTTAACTTGTGTAAAAGAACCAGTATATAAATCGAATGAAATTGACAAAAAAAATGCCACTTTATATGCCAAATCATGCAGCATAATTTAAAAGGTACCTAAATAGGCTAATTTTCCATCACTGCTTTGAAAAAGGTTTCCCGGGTGTGGATCAGCATGATAGAACCCACATTCGAGAAGTTGATTAAATGAGCAGTATACCCCTACCTGTGCAGGACCAGAAAAATATTTATCTTCAGTAACTGCAAATATAATATAGGCCGCATATCATATTTATTTAAATTCCAGCGAGAAGATTTTTGTTCCCGCAAACTGACCTCAACTAAATAAATATCCTTCACTTCTGACAACTTTTTCCCCTACATACCATGAAATTGGTAAATAACATGAGCAAAAAGTTTTAAGTTATATAAATAATGGGATGTAATTGTGAGAATGTGTTCTAATGTGTTCTCCTTTTTCCTTGTCGGATTAGGAATAAGTGTCATATATCTATTTGACTTCTATATCTCAGTAATGTATTCATAAAGGATTAGGATTAGGAATTAGTGGTGCTCTATATAAATGATGTATTCTTTGTTCAATCTATTAAGATCTAATATACAGTTTCATTCAGAAAACTTACATGGTATTAGAGCTAGGTTCGAAACCCTAGCTGCTTCGCTTGTCGCCATCGTGGTTCTTCTGGTTCGTGATTAGCCCTAAGTGGTGATATTCTCGTTTGTCTGGGTCATCACCATCAGCCCTCTCCGATTCGACTGATTTGCCACCATCAGAGTCGCGACCTTTCTCTCCCCAGACTCGCTAAGGTTTGAAACCCTAGCCCTCTCTGGTTCATCTCGCGAAGGCCTCTCTCTTCCGTTTGAAACCCTAGCCCTCTCTGGTTCATCTCGCGAAGGCCTCTCTCTTCCTTGCGATCTCTGTCTGATTCGATTTGCAACTATCTACTTCGGCTCTCTAGTTCGTCTGCCTCTCTGGTTCGGCTCTCTGGTTCGGCTGCCTCTCTCTGATTAAACTTGGGTATTTCTTTTTAAAAAAAAAAAAAGAAAAAAAAAAGAAGCCTATTTCAGGATTGTTGCACTAAAGCCCCATACTTGTCTGTTTATTACAAATTTTGTTTTATTATAATGTCGGACATTAAAATCCAAATCATCAAATGTAAACTCACTGGTGACAATTATGCCTATTGGGCCAGTGTCATGAAGAATTTTCTTCTTGGTAAAAAAAAATAGGGTTATGTTTCTGGTTTTGTTCCTTGTCCGTCGGACCCGAAGGCGGAAGGGTATCTACTTTCCTGTGACACTTGAGATTGTGATAACGCCCAAGTTTTGACCTGGTTTTATAATTCTGTGGATGCCCGTATTGGAATGATGTTTTCCAAGTACAGTACTGCCAAGGAAGTGTGGGATTATTTACTCGGTGTTTATCAGCAGTCTAACTTTGCCAAGCGGTATGAGTTGGAAACAACTATTCAGAGTGCTTGTCAGCGGGATCAAACTATTCAGGACTTCTATATCAAGATGACCGGTCTCTAGGATCAGTTGGCTCTTATGGAACCACCTAGTCTCAAGATATGGACGCTTATATTGAGTTTCGTGAGCAAGGTCGTTTAGTGCAATTCTTAACGGCTCTCTCTCCTTAGTGCGAGGCTATCCGAGGTGGCATCCTTCACCGATCTCCTCTTCCATCTGTGGATGCTATTGTTCGTGAGCTCCTCTCCGAGGAAACCCGACTTAAGACAGCCGGTTAGCCTCTACCTCCTTCTGTCTTCTTGGCCCCTGCCAAGCCTCCTTTGTTATCGACCCCACCTCCTCATCAGCTTCAGGCCTCTACGAAACCCAAGAAAGGACCATTAGGGCCAGATGAGTGTGCTTTCTGCCATCAGAGGGGTCATTGGAAGAACAACTGTCCCAAGAAGGGACATCAGCCTGCTCCGTCTTCTCAGACACAGTTTCGCGGTCCTACGTCGGGTACTTTCCGACCTCCCGCCGTTTATACTGCTTCTACTCTAGCTCCCAATCCTAACTTGGCTTCCTTGAGTGCTCAGGTTGCACAACTTCATCATATCCTGTCCACCACTCAGCCATCCCCATCTGTCTCTGCTCTTACCTCTCGTCATTCAGGTTTGCTTTGGTCCTCTTCAGGTATCCCTTATTCTGCCTGGCTTTTTGATTCTGATGCCTCTCATCATATGACTCCTCACATTTCCTTACTTCAAAACTGTATTCCCCCACCCGTTCATATTACTATTAATACTGCTAATGGGTCTGGTATGTCTGTTTTGTCTATTGGGTCTGTCTTGCCATCTGCCATGTCTGCTGTTACTATTCTTTTTGTTCTTTATGTCCCTCAGTTATCTGTCAATTTATTATCTATCAGTCAACTTGGTGCGTCTGGTTTTGCTGTTATATTTTCCTCTTCTGTTTGTTGTGTGCAGGATCGGGTGTCCAAGAAGCAGATTGGGACCAGCTGTAGAGTTGGAGATCTATATGTGGTTGAAAGCTTGCATCTCCCCTTATCCACTTCTCCAGCTGCACTTTCCTCGTTTCAGTTAAATTCTCAGTCAAGTCAGTTTTACTTATGGCATTCTCGCCTCGGTCATTTGTCTGTTGATCGCTTACGATCTTTAGCTCAGTCAGGGTTGTTGGGTAAAGTTTCTCCAAGTCAAATAGATATATGACACTTACTCCTAATCCTACAAGGAAAAAGGAGAACACATTAGAATACATTCTTACGGTTCTCTTGAGCGCTACAAAGCTCGTCTGGTGGCCAAAGGTTTCTCCCAGGAGTATGGTATTGATTATGAGGAGACATTTGCTCCTGTTGCCAAGATGACTACCGTCCATACTTTGATCTCTGTCGCTGCTGTTCGTTCTTGGCCTCTTTCTCAGATGGATGTTAAGAATGCTTTTCTTAATGGCCATCTCACTGAGCAAGTTTACATGCGCCCTCCCCCTGGTCTTCACCATTCCTCTGGCCAGGTTTGTCGTCTTCGGCATGCTCTATATGGTCTGAAGCAATCTCCTCGTGCTTGGTATGATCGCTTTCAGAATGCTGTTACCGAGCTTGGGTTTTATCTTTCTGCTTCCGACTCTGCTTCATTTCTAAGATATATCTCGGCTGGTTTTGTTGCTCTCTTACTCTATGCAGATGATATGATCATCATTGGCTCTGACTCTTCTGCCATCTCTGAGGTCAAGCAACATCTCTTTCGCACCTTCGAAATGAAGGATCTGGGACCGTTGCGGTATTTTCTTGGCATTGAGGTAGCTTCTTCTCCCAAGGGTTACTTTCTGTCCCAGGCTAAGTATGCCAACGAGGTTATCCATCGTGCCGGACTTACTGACACTAAGCTTTCTGATACCCCCATTGAGCTTAATGTAAAGCTCAACACTACTGATGGTGTTCCTGTAGATGATCCTACGTTATATCGCAAGCTTGTGGGTTGCTTAGTCTATCTAACAGTTACTCGCCCTGATCTTACCTATGCTGTCCATATGATTAGTCAATTTGTTTCTGCCCCTCGCTCTACACATTGGGCTGCTTTGCTTCGGGTTCTTCGCTATCTTCGCAGTACTATCTTTCAGGGCTTGCTATTCTCTTCTACTTCTTCCTTAGATTTGGTCGCTTATGCTGATGCTGATTGGGCTGGTGATGTTAATGATCGTAAATCTACTTCTGATTTCTGTATGTTTCTTGGCGATTCCCTAATTTCTTGGAAAAGCAAGAAACAGACCGTTGTTGCCCATTCTACTGCCGAAGCTGAGTATCGTGCTATGGCTCATGCTACTGCTGAAGTTGTCTAGCTTCGTAGTCTCTTATCTGAGTTGGGCGTCCCTCAATCTTTAATGAGCTACTCTGCTTTGTAATATAATAGATCAATGTATCAAAAAATCAATCAATAATACATATATTTTTTTACAGGGCTGCTTTGCTTCGAGTTCTTCGCTATCTTCGCAGTACTATCTTTCAGGGCTTGCTATTCTCTTCTACTTCTTCCTTAGATTTGGTGGCTTATGCTGATGCTGATTGGGCTGGTGATATTAATGATCGTAAATCTACTTCTGATTTCTGTATGTTTTTTGGCGATTCCCTAATTTCTTGGAAAAGCAAGAAACAGACCGTTGTTGCCCATTCTACTGCCGAAGCTGAGTATCGTGCTATGGCTCATGCTACTGCTGAAGTTGTCTAGCTTCGTAGTCTCTTATCTGAGTTGGGCGTCCCTCAATCTTTCCCGACTTCTCTCTATTGTGAAAACCGAAGTGTTATTCAAATTGCTCATAACACTATCTTTCATGAACGGACAAAGCATATTGAGATTGATTGTCACTTCGTCCGACAGCATCTGCAGTCTGGCGTTATCTCGCTTACTTTTGTCTCTTCGGCTCTGCAACTTGCTGACTTCTTCACCAAGACTCACACCACTGCTCGGTTTCGGTTTTTTCTTGACAAACTCTCAGCGTTTTCTGTTAAAACACCTTGAGTTTGAGCGGGGGTGTGAGAATGTGTTCTAATCTGTTCTCCTTTTTCCTTGTAGGATTAGGAATAAGTGTCATATATCTATTTGACTTCTATATCTCAGTAATGTATTCATATAGGATTAGGATTAGGATTAGGATTAGGAATTAGTGGTGCTCTATATAAATGATGTATTCTTTGTTCAATCTAGTAAGATCTAATATACAGTTTCGTTCAGAAAACTTACAATAATAAGCTTCTTCAAGAAAGAATGCATTTTAATGACCACTTAAATGATTACATAAGGCCTAATATGAGGCACATCTTAGTAGGATTGCTTTCATTGCACTTCTTATAACTATCAATCACAGCACGCCAGATAAACTCCGACTTTTTCCATATATATGACAGGAATTTTGAACAAAGTAAATTGTTCTGATATGTACTTGCAGAAGTCAGAAAAAATGAGTATGCATAATTAATTGCCCTATTTTTACGCATCAATCTAAGAGTAATGTAGAAGTGTGGTGCATGTAATTTAATCTTTGGTGAATTGCTCTTTTGCAATCTTTAGATCCCATCACAAAAAACAAGAAAGAAGAGGAGTACATCAATTTTAAGCCATATATAAAATTCAATCAAGGTAGAGATAGTACTAGGGATGAAATTTGCAACAAATCTTCTCTTCAAATCTGCATGATGATTTTATTTTTACTTTTTATTTTTTTGTAAACTTTTTTGAAAAAGCAGGTGACACCAGCCTTTTCTAGAATACTTTTAGAGTTGTCCAACTCTTATCTGGGCAACAATCACCTAGCAAACAGCATTCCAAGCTGTAGAGCCAAATGATAATTGAAACTCATTATTGTTTCTGGAATTTGATTCCACAGTCATCCCCAAGTAAACAAAAACTGAGAATAGACGAACATGAAATAGCAATACCTCCACCCATTGCATAGTGAGGACCCTACGAGTTGTTTGTGCCACATACATTTCTGGAACAAAAACATCTCGCAGACCACCATATAGCTCCCTGCTTTTACATAATGGTCAGAGTCAGAACTTCTATCCATACTACTTCTCCAAACATTGTAGATATATATAACTGAAATTGACCCTACCCTCAGTAGTGGTTTGAACTCTAGTAACGGTTTAGACCAAAGGAACAACAATGGGACTTAAATGTAAATATAAAGGAAAAAATCGCAAAACAGCTCCTACTAGAACATATCCAAAATGTATAGTTGGAAGTATCTGGAGTTGTGTTGATTAGCAGAATAAGAATTCATTCACAAAAAGAACAAGTGTAAAAAGAATTCAATCCAAGGAAACTAAAGATAAAATTTGGTTTAGTAAAAAGCATTCAACATCCTTAATAGATTCAATGTCTTGGCTCACTTTATCAAATTTAATTCCAGCAGCTTGTATCAATGTCCTCTGCATACAATTTAGATGCAATATTCTCAAAACAAATTCAACATGGGAATGACATACCATGAGGTCTAGCTAAAATGGTGAGTCCCCAATTGTACAACCAGGAGATCTTAGGTTCGAGCCCCTACTTCTTCCGATATGTGAGGCTAGCGGGTGGTCACACATATCCGGGTTTTACCCCAGGTCTCACTGAAGGTGGGGCTTGGGGGGTTCCTCGTAAATATGGGCATGAGATGATTGTATTGGGTATTGAACTTTATTCACTTTCTGTCCTTCAAATTGGCTAATAATTTAATTGCCCAATTCCAGATGTATTAAATCCTTGGTGGTGATTCTTTCAGAATAGAAAATGATCTTTCATTATTTACATTAACAGGAGCAATGTTCATATAATCCATGCAATAGTCTTATCCCATAATCAAAGCCCTATCAACATAACAAAATCCCTACATGTTCATAAAACTATGATCAGATGAAGCGGCTAAGCATATATATATATTGGGAGTCATACTACATACTTTATGCATCACAGGAAACAGGGAACTTTTTCCCCTTTATTTCTAGTGAGGAGGTTTCTAGGACTTCACACTAACTAATCCCAGGATGCTTGCAAGGCATCTGCCAATACACAACAAGGCAGGATCCTTTGCAACTGTTCTACCCCTTGGATTTGGTTGGAAGTTTAGAACACTTGCTGTGTGCCAAATGGGGGAAACTCTAACACCTATGAGATTGTAGCCATCTGAAGTCACACTCCAGATAGGTGTTAATAGACAATGAGACTGTACTTCAATTACAAAATAGGTTGGAGAGTAGAGCCTTCAGAAATTAAAAGATTTGGTCACAACACTAAGACAAAAACTGTAATACATATAATGCAGTTAGCTTTTACCTAAACTTGAGTCCATTCAATGCTTCTTTCTTGTAGTCCATCTCCTGCATTCAATGTGATTACCTGTATTCAATATAGAGCACTAAGAATATTCCTTTTGAAGGGGGAGAGAAAGAAGATTTTTAGTGTGCTCTACAACTAAGTGTACACCATTTAAATCTTCAAGTGAGATACAATTTCTTGACATAAAGGAAACAAATTATCAGGAAGATGATGAATGAACAAAGAAAATAAAAAACTGCACTTGACATCACCATTTCTCAACCCAGTAGCCAGGAGGAGTGCCTCCTTTGAGTGGCCAAACACGCGAGTTTGGATTATTGGATTGGCAGATTTTGAGCCCAAGTCTATGGCATGCCAGCACGATATGTTGAGCAAAACAAGTTTGTAGAGGATCAAAAGATTAATATAATTTATGTTCGAATTATTATCCAGGGTAACATTAGTTTAAAATCAGTGCAGTAAAAATCAGAGTGGAAATGGATCGAAGCAATAAAACAAAATATTTAGGGTAAATTACAAATACACCCCCTGAGGTTTGCTTAAAATACGAATTGCCCCCTGTAGTTTGGAAAATTACAAATATCTTCCTGTTAGAATTTTTTATTTAACAGAATTAATTGAAAAAGTGAAATTTTTAACTGTTCACCTATACAATAATAAAATTATATGAATTATTAATTGAAATAAAATTTTAATATTATTAAAAACTCTTAATTAACTTGATGATTTATTAATAAAAGGACCTATTTGTTGTGAAATTAAAAACCTTAGGGGGCATAATGTAATTTCTACAATCACATGAGGTAATTTGTAATTTAAGTAAACCTCAGGAGGTGTGTTTGTAATTTACCCAAATATTTAATAAGAAATTAATGTGGTTGCAAGAATTTATTGAAGGTAAGAACTTAGGATTAGATAATCTAAAATGGTCAAACATGTGCTATAAAGACCAACAAATGTGCCAAGTGGAAGACAATAGGAAGGCAAATCAAACATGGGTAGATAAAGGCAGGCAGAATCATCGAGTTTATGGTTCTATATTGAGCTATATGGCTGAATGGATTTATATAGTCAATCCCAAGATGGCTGGAATTAAGGCTTCGTTGGGTGGTAGTATTATTAGGGGCAATATTAATAAGTAAACTGCTGTGTCCAAAGCAATACTTATTTGAAGAAGAAGTATCCAATGGACTGGTCATGGGACATACTTGGGAACATTGAGACATCAGTGAAGATCAATACATACCCGAAATAGACTTGACGCCCATTCATCAACAACTGCCTGCAAATCGAAGCCATATTTCTTTACAATTGCAGCTAACTCGAAATCAAAAGAAACTGTAAGAATTATGTCCAAGAAACTCACTGGGCAACTCATGATCCCAATGTACCCATCAAATATCATAACCATCAAGGTCCAATATTTTTTTATATTATATTTTAATTCAATTTTCCGTAACTTTAAGAGAAGTGAGCTCTTGAACCCCTGCCTAGGTCCAACCCAGGAGATAGGAATCCCATTCCTCACTTGTAGCCTAATAAAATGTTGGACGTCTTGTAAACCAAGTTCATTTTGCAACATTTTTTTTTTCCCTTTGTTACATATTGCAACATTACCTGGAGATCGGTGTTGAATTTTCCTGCTCTCCTAACCAACCCCGCAAGAAAACGCAAGATTAATATGTCTAAGGAAATGGCAGCTTGAACTCCAGGCCTCTGGACTTTGACAGCAACAACCTGTCCACTAGGGCGAAGCCTAGCTTGATAGACCTTTAGAGAAAAAATTCAAAAGAATAAAATAGAAGGGAAACTACATGACATGACTTTACAAAACAAACTAATGCCATAATGTCAACTCCCAAATCCTAAGCAACAGAAGTCTACTACCAATTACAAACCTGCCCGAGAGATGCTGCTGCCACTGGCTCTGGTGAGATTTCAGAGAAAAGTTCATCTATTGGTAATCCCAGTTCTTGTTCAATTGTATTAAAAGCAACTTCAGTTGAAAATGGCGATATTTGATCTTGCAACAGTGAAAGCTCATCCAGATATGAAGGTGGTATCAAATCCTACATAAAAGATATTACCAAAAATATGTCAATGAATTTATTTACAAGGCAAAGTAAACGGCACAGTAAAAATAAACACCTAAGTTGGGTGTGCATCATTATTTACACATGTTCACCAGAGTGGGGTTAGAAGCTTGGACGAGAATAGAGAAAGAGATGGCAGGATCCTTCTCTGTAAGGTCTCAAGATCTCTTTATAGAGGCAGATTCTATGAGTCTCCATGAACTTCAGTTAAAAGTTGTCTGGCTTCACCTAGGTCATATTGCCAGAACAAGACATTGCACGAAGTCATTTTTTCTGTTAGAGGCATTGTTTGGACTCAACCTATTTTAAAGGTTCTTTTTAATTAAATATTACAAGACATTTAATGTGTTACTAATTTCTGTAGACAAAACATGCATTAGGTGTCTAGCATATGTGATTAGGTTGAGTGCGGAAGTGTTCCAGATTTAAGATATTCAGTGACAATGCAAAGTGTGCTCAAATCCAATCTTAGGTATAACTGCATGTTCATACTATGTTAATGCACAACACAAGTGTTTCAAATTTAGCCTAAAATGGCATACACTTAATCTTATGCTAAGAAGCACAAAACACTTTTGAGGACAAAGCGTGTCGTGTCTGACACATCTACAACGTGTCTTAATTGAAAAATCATATCCATAATGTCAGACACTTTACCCACACTTTTTGAACCCTCTGAACATGTCCCATGTGATGAATTACTCAATAATAACAATGTTTTGCATTCTTCAAAACACAACTTATGCACTCTAAATATGTATTGAAAAATTTGTAAGACGAACACATCACGTTTATTATAATGTTATAGAATTTTTTTGTATTATCTAGAATGTAATTGTTACATAAATGATACATATATAACTTTTTAATATAATTGGAGTTATGTTACATAGTTTTTAAAATTATTTTTGAATAAATTATTCATATATATGATATATAATAAATTTATAAAAATAAAATAAAAAAAGTGTCCTGTGTGTCTCGTGTCCTAAATTTTTTGAAAATCAACGTGTCAGCGTGCCCATGTTGTGTCAATGTCATGCCGTGTGTCAGTGTCTATGCTACTTAGGTCTTATGATGGTTCAAAAGGAGTTACTTGGGCAAGACCAGTGTGCTAGAAAACATAAGGTACTTAATTTAACTTAGAAACAGGAAATATAAGCGAAAGTAGTTGTGCAAAAGATGTGTCAACTTACAGCTCTAGATGAGATGGCCTGAGCAATTTTGATGTATGCCTACGAAACAGGAACAAAGAAAAATTGAAAGAGTATTAACAAAAAGAAAAGGTAACAATAGTGTTCAACAATTTATAAAATTATTTGATGAGATGGCACTTTGTTTTACAAAAATACAACTGTAAGCACACAAAAAAAATGTCTATATTTTTATAGAAGAAGCTTTGTACAAATACATTCTATCAAGAACTTTTTGAGTAAGGGAATTCATAGTGTTTTTCACCACTCCATTATGCTGAAAGAGTTATTGCTCAGAAATGATCTCAAATAGACACTGAGATTAAATTGGTGTTTGATGTCACCACACTTACTATGTTATTGCACATATAGCTGAGTATAAGCTCCAAATTGAACTCTTATAATCTAAAAGGTATTATGAAAGTGTAATTATCCTATATGTGACTTAGGACTGAGACTAATTGCTAATCCACTTAAAAAAACATTACTGATCTACCAAAGAAAAATTAAACATCACTAATCTCTCTGTCATATTTATAAAAAGAAAAATGACATTCATATAGAACTTTTATACAAACATATTACCAGAATGATGTGACAATAGTATTCGTGTGATTAAATGTCATTTAAACAGGTATTTTATCTTAAAATGATAGGTAACAATGCAGTCACATTATTTTGTATACAAATTCACTACTCATATAAAAAAAACCCTGAAAGTAAAATTTCCTTCACCTGCCACTCAATATTCACCTAACTAGTGTCTTAAACTCTGTCAAATTTATACCATCCAGTCCAAATTATTATTACCGGGCAAACCTTCAGTGGCCCCAAGGTTTGGGATGTTTGGCCTTTGTGGGATTCGACTTTGTGACCTCTTGGGTGGAAAGCCAAACCCCTTGGGGTTACCATCCAGTCCAAATTATGAATAAGAACATTATCAGCCAAGTAGAATTTGAAAAGAGAAAGGGCAAAAATCCGTTTGACAATAAAGAAGCGCATGTACCACACTTGGCTCAAACCTATATCAAATTTAAATTTGGGTTAAAAAATCACTGAAAAACCTCTCCACTCCTTGACTCAAACTTATATAAAATTGAGTTTTAATCATGTTTTACCCAAATCAACGAAGACTTAAATATTTGTTCAAAATTTTCAAAACCATATTGCCACTTTCAAATGTACAACTCTGCCAATATTAAAGCTTTTACTTATGTCCAATATATTTTAGTCTGTCCATTGGATTGCTTCATATCAAATAAAGCTTCAAATTTGAGTAAAAATTTAAGGGCATCAAAACTTTTTCAAAAATTAACGACTGAGCAACACTTACTGGACCAAGTTGAACTAATATTTTCCTCAACTCCGCAGCTCTAACCTGCAATCAATGAAAAAAACCGAATTTCAAATTATGTGTTACAATCATTAATAATTGATACATAATTGAGTCGTAGTGATTCTGAAACAGAACAACACTGACTGACCTCGAACATTTGCTCGGAGCGCTCGTTGACGCTATCAAGGTATCGCAGCGCAAACCATTTCCCTAGAGTAGCGCCGACTTGGACGACGCGGCGAACAACGACAAGAGGCTTGTTCCGATAAATGGAGGCGATCTTGGAGATGTCGTACTCGGTCAGAGTCTCCACCTCCGAAGTGCTGAGCTCGAAGAGGTACCCTGAGTACTCCGTGAACGCATCCACTTCGCGTACAGCGGCGGACGGCGGCGGAAGAACTTTGATCCTGCGGTGGGACGGCGGGAGGAGGAGGAGGCGGCGGCGGAGAGTGAAGTTGGAATTGGCGGGAAATGGGCATGGAGGCAGTACGAGAATCATCGGCGGTGTGTGAGAAATTGGATGTGAGTTTGTCAAGAATTGTAATGTAATGACTGGACTGTCTTTCTTCTTTATCCCTTTTTTGGTTTGCAGTTTTTTGAAAGGCTGGGACGTTCATTGGGGATATTAATCAATATTTTCGGTGCTGTACATCTTAATTAATTATTATCTATCTATTTATCTTTTATCTATCTATCTATCTATACTATTATAAAGTGAATACCTCTTATGATGTCTTGAAACTTTTATTTCTGTTGTCGTGTGTTCACTTTTTAATGCTACCACGTGTCCATTTTTTAATTAAAATATTAAAAAAAATTAGATAGATGAATATAGGAGACTTGAACCTTAGACTTATATTAAATTAGCGGCCAGGCACAAGCGATCCATGTGCAATTTCTTTTTGAATTATAATATGAATTTCATATTATTTTTTCTAATAATATACATATAAATCAAATGAGTAACTATGTACAATGTAATATTTGATATTAACGTATTTGATAAATAAAATACACGTACATTAAAAGATGTACAAATCTTTGCCAAAATACAATATTTACTAATCTTAACTAAAAAATATGTACAACAAAAATTTATATAAAATCTGAATTTAGTAACATGAGACTAAAGATCCTACAAATCTTGCAAAAAAAATATATAAGATATATGTAAAAATTAGTTTGCTAATAATATACATTGATTAAATTAAAATTTTACGTTTTTAAAGTGAGGCATAATTATACATATGCATACTTTAGCTAATACAGTACAATAATTACTTTGGTTTTCTATAAACAAAATTAAAAACTTACATTTTGACATAGATTGACATTAGTCTATTTTTTTCTCCAAGGAAACAAATAACATAATGAAACTTTTTATTTTATTTTTTAATTAAGAAAATAAAATGTATACTTAACAGTGTACACACAAAATATCAAAATACAAACCCATACTCTTGGAACACTTACAATAAAAAAAGATTTGATATATACAAATAAAAATAATAATAAGCTATTAACATAAAAAATAAAATAATAAAAGTGCAAAAAAAAAAAACTATGTTTTTTTAAAAATAAATTTTAATACTGTTATTTTAAAAAAACAATAGATACCCAAACCTAATACTCTTACAATACTTATAGTAGCCAAAAAAGAAAAAGAATATTTACAATAAAAAAAGATTTGATTTACATAAAGAAAAATAACAATTACAGTAAAATAGATTTGATATAAACTAAGAATAGTAATAGTCTATTTTTTCCCCTAAGGAAATGAATAACATAATGAAACTTTTTATTTAATTTTTTAATTAAGAAAATAAAATGTATACTTAACAGTGTACACACAAAATATCAAAATATAAACCCATACTCTTTGAACACTTACAATAAAAAAAGATTTGATATATACAAATAAAAATAATAATAAACTATTAATATAAAAAATAAAATAATAAAAATGCAAAAAATAAAAAATAAAAAATAAAAAAATAAATTTTAATACTGTTATTTTTAAAAAACAACAGATTTTAAGAATGTTGAATTGTTTTTTTAAACACACACATAAAATTAAGAAAACAAAAAACCAAAAAAAAAAAATCACAATTTTTGCTACTAAAAAAAAAACCAAAAAATCACAATTTCTGAACTAACAGAGAACTCAATTGTATATACCAAATATTTGTATATAATAAATGTGATGCTTTCTTAGTTTATGATTGAAATTAATATTATTTATAATTTTAAGTTTGACCAAATCATATCAAAATTCTATTTATCATAACCATTTATTTGCAATCCTACCACACCAGATCAAATCTCTTTTCTTTTCTTCCTCAGAACTCCATTGCAATTGGCGATATGAGAAGATGAACCCAGAAAGTCTAAGAATGACTTCACAATAATAATGACTTCACAATCAACCAATTTCAAAACACACACACAGAGAAATTGCAAAGTATAGAGGATAAGAGAGAGATCTTGAGTGAAGATCTGGATCACTAAGACCAACTAATAACTTCTCTCAAATCTAACGGTGTCTCACACTCCTATATATATATATATATGTTGACTCAACCCACAATCTTTATAGAGTTTAAGAACCTCAATGAAGTACTCAAATTAAACTTTTCTGATTCCAAAACCATGAAAGTTGTACTTCTTCAAACTGTTTTGGTCTTGGTCTACCAACATTCCATTGTTCTTGGTTCACTAAGGCTCTCTACTTCGCCTAGGATTTCTCTGGTCAATCGTCGGACTGATTTTACTCCAGCGAATGGAATACGAGGGTTTCGTTAGATTTAGAATAATTTATCATTGTGTATTGCATTGTGCTAATATTGGCATTATCAACATTACCTAACATTTATAGATTGAAAATGGATTAAACCTTGATACAGGGGAAGAGAACTACAATGAAGATACAGTTGAGATACAAAATACAGTAAACATACACATTCATAACTTACCAAATAGAAACATTCAACCAATCATATATCCACAGGATGCTTTCAGAAGAGAAGTTTGAGAATTTTTTATGCAAAATACAATGAAGTTGTTAAGAACATTTCAGTGAAATCAGATGAAAATGCAAAATGCAATGATGTTGTAATTGCCTAAGGAGTGGAGACGTGGAGAGTGGGAAGAGGGAAAGTAGATTTGGTTGTTTTAATTTACAATTTTACCCCTAATTAAAACTAATGTAAGTGTAAGAAATTAAGGTCATTTTAGGAAAAAATGGAAAAAATTTATGAGAAGTGGCTTCATGGCATCAAAACCACTGTACCCTTTTAATAATAGAATAGATGAATAAGACTCTTACCATTTCACCACCACACAATATATAATAAGTATTTTATTTTATTTTTATTTATTTGAATAGCACACGCATCACGTGTGGCAACCGCTAGTACTATTATAAAGTGAACATCCCTTATGATGTCCTAAAGCCTTTGTTTCTTATGCTCCCACGTGTCCACTTTTTAATTTAAAATAGAAAAAAAATTAGATAGATGAGAGGATGAGACTTGAACCTTAAACTTATATCAAATGAATAAGACGCTTACCACTTGACTAGTAACACACAATATATAATAAATATTTTAAGCAGCACACAATATATAATAAATATTTTATTTTATTTTTATTTATTTAAATTACACACGTATCGCGTATAACAACTACTAGTTTAATATATCTCTTCATATTGTTTACCTATTTAATACAATATTTTATTTATTTAACTTTTTTATTAATTATAATGTTATAAAATATCATATATTCTTATTTTAAAATTATTCAATAATAACTCATTGATTGGACAGGCGCGTCCAACGTGGGAACAAATCTAGCGCAAATAACTGAAATTCATTTATAGAACAGCAACTATAAATCTTCTGATTTTGGAAAAATTTAAAAATAAAAATAAAAAAATCACATCAAAACATCACATCAAGCTTTTACAGTGGAAAATTTCTTTAGAATTTATATTTTAAAACTCTCGTATTATTATAAAGTGAACACTCCTTGGTGTTCTGAAACCTTTGTTTCTTATACTGTTACGTGTCCATTTTTTAATTTAAAATAAAAAAAATTAGATAAATGAGAGGAGGAGACTTAAACCTTAGACTTATGTCAAATGAATAAGACTCTTACCACTTGACTAGCAGCACATAATATATAGTGAATATTTTATTTTATTTTTATTTATTTAAATTACACACGCATCGCGTGTAGCAAACGCTAGTTTAATATATCTCTTCATATTGTTTACCTATTTAGGAGTTGTTTGGGATAAACTAAATAAGTACACTTTTGAATTTTTATGAAATATGAGTTGAGTATGTGTTGGGTTTGAAGTGATGTAGTAGAGAGATGATATGACTGAAATAAGATGACGTGACTTAAATAGGATAGTGACTTTTTGATTTTTTTTTATCATCCCAAACCAAGCCTTAATACAACATTTTATTTATTTAATTTTTTTATTTATTATAATGTTATAAAATACCATATATTCTTATTTTTAAAAATTATTCAAAGAACTCATTGATTGGACAGGTGGCGTCCAGGGCGTCGGGAACAAATCGAATGTCCGGTATTTCTCGGCGGCCGTTGTCGGCGGCCGTCCCAGGCAGCTTCCACAAATCGACGTCGTTTGGGGGTTTTTATTTAATTTTTTTGATTTTTTTTTTACCTTTCTTTCCTCGTTCGTTCGAAACGACAGAGGGGGGAGGGGAGGGGAAGAAGAGAGAAGAGGGGAGGGGAGGAGGAGGGGAAGCGCGCCGGTGGCCGACGTGGAGGGGAGCTAATATCACCGGGGCGAGGAAGGAGGAGGAGGCGGGGCGGGCGGAGGCGGGAGGCGAGGCTGAGACGAAAGGAACGCTGACGACCTGCGACGGCGGAGGCGAGGCGAGGCGGAGGCGACGAATCGGGAACGACGGTGCGACGGTGACCTCCCTCTCCCCTGCGACGCCTGACGACGGCGACGAAGGAAGAAGGAAAGAGAAAAACTGAGAATGAAGAGAAGAAAGAAAAAAAAAAAAAACCCCAAAACGACGTCGTTTTGGGGGGCTGCCGGGTAGGGCTGCCGGGTAGGGCGGCCGAGGATCCAGATTCGAACAAATCTAGCGCAGATAACTGAAATTCATTTATAGAACAGCAACTATAAATCTTCTGATTTTGGAAAAATTCAAAAAAAAAAAAATCACATCAAAACATCACATCAAGATTTTAAACTCGAAAATTTCTTTAGAATTTATATTTTAAAACTCTCAAATATTTTTCTTTATGGAAATGAGGTTAGGACGATGATAACTGAAATTTTGTTTTGTTCTGTTTTATTTTATTTTATTTTTTGTAAATATGATAACTGAATTTTGGGCAACGGTGGTGTTTGGGAGGTTATTTTATAATTTTTTTATTAAAATAATTAATAAAAATAAAATAGGTTAACATAATTAATAAGATAAAATATCACATCTAAATTATAATTATTTTATTTATTTTTTCATAATTATCAAATCAACAACCAAAAAAGCCAATCAACTTCCCTAATATAACTTTTTAAATCAGGCTAAAATAATCAAAAATTAAAAAATTAATTAAAAT